CTCTCCACCTCTTCAAAGACTTCTGGTCAACGTCGAACAGGAGATATGACCCGCCAGAGGGTCTCTCTGAAACTCCCTGCAGGCGGGGTGGCCACCAACCCCACCCCACACCAGCAAGTGGCGTGAGCAAGCAATTTCAGGGCTGCACCCGAAGCCTTTTGTGCAACCTTTACCTGGTCGTCTGCGACTGCACGCTAGGATTTCACGATGAGCTCAAAGGTGGCTTGGGTGCGGACACCGGCGGCTCCTCTCAGGTGTCACCGTGGCACCTTCTGCGTCGCAATCATCGTTAGCGTCGTCGGCAAAGCCCTCGCCTTTGCAGCGGAGTGCGCGTTTGGCTACGAAACTTCGGACTTTACACCTCAGATTGTGGTCTCAGCAAGAGCCAGACGCTGGGGCATTGGGTTTATTCCTGAGGGACGAATGTGGGGGCTGATACTTTGAGAGGCAGACAAGGGCGGGCTTTTATTTCTTATTCATAATCAGTGGGGTTTTTTTGCATCGAAAAGCGTAGCTTATGCAAAGTGCATCTCAGCACGTTGCACAATCCGCAACACAACCGTGCCATTGGGCCCTTCTTCGTAGCACATTTCAGTTTTCATAAGCCACAAGTGAGAGATTCCATCCGAAGGCAGTTAAAATCCGGACACTATTGCACAATGGACAAAACCAGCATTAGGAGCTGCACGGAAACAATTCAGTTTTGAAAGCAGAAAGTTACTCGGCTAACAAAAAAAAAACCGTGCAATTTTGGATCGAACCGGTTATTTTTCCCACTTCGTAGAAACCCAGCGATTGCAAAAATGTTTAAAAAAAAGTTAAACACAAAAACCTGATCACACATTGTACAGCACAGACGCTAACACGTTTAGCATGAGGAAACTGTTAGGGTTGCCACATTTTCCACTGTAGACCAAAGCTGGACATATTTCTAAGTCAGCCTATGTCTACAATCATATCTATGCAGTGCGCTGTCGTGATAGTGTTCAATACAATGGAAGATCTCGGTACAATCAACTGTTGCCACCTGAACACAGCGATCAATTGCTCGACCGTCCGGATTTTAATCCGGACAGCTGGTGACCCGAGAGACAAGTAGACACGAGTCATGGGTTCGATCCTAACCCTGACGCCTGTATGTTTGGTATACAGGTCGTGGGTTCGATCCTAACGCCTATATATTTGGTATCCAGGAGTTCGTGTGTTCGATCCTGACCCTAACGTCTGTATATTTGGCATACAGGAGGTCGTGGGTTCGATCCTGACCCTGACGCCTGTATGTTTGGTATACAGGAGGTCGTGGGTTCGATCCTGACCAGGATGCCTGTATATTTGGTATACAGGAGGTCGTGTGTTCGATCCTGACCCTGATGCCTGTATATTTGGTATACAGGAGGTCGTGGGTTCGATCCTGACCAGGATGCCTGTATATTTGGTATACAGGAGGTCATGGGATCGATGTTGACCCTGACGCCTGTAAATTTGGTAAACAGGTCGTGGGTTCGATCCTAACGCCTGTATATTTGGTATCCAGGAGTTCGTGTGTTCGATCCTGACCCTAACGTCTGTATATTTGGCATACAGGAGGTCGTGGGTTCGATCCTGACCCTGACGCCTGTATGTTTGGTATACAGGAGGTCGTGGGTTCGATCCTGACCCTGACGCCTGTATGTTTGGTATACAGGAGGTCGTGGGTTCGATCCTGACCCTGACGCTTGTATAATTGGCATACAGGAGGTCGTGAGTTCGATCCTGACTATGTGACGCCTGTTGTATATTTGGAGTTTGCATGTTCTCCCCCATATTTAGAAACATGCGCTTAAAATGAGAAAAGGTTTTTCCCCCTTTTTTCAGGCAACAAAAAACACCTTTTACAAGGAATCATGTCTGCATTAACCACAATACTTGTGGTCAGAATGCAAAAAAAAACATACTCTGATAATATATGCATTGTCTTTGAAACTGATTGGTCCAGACCAGAGACAGCTTTCTTTTGAGCCTCGTCTCAAACGGTATTAGACCAGAAAAAGGGGGGGAAAAAACCTCTTCTCATATCTTGGTACTGGCAAAGGAGGTCCCATGATGCGCTTAAGAGTATTTAGTTCTCTCCACCGGGTGGAACAGATGAGCCCCACCAGCTACTGCACTCGCTTTAGGCCGAGTCGGCCTCGGAGATGACATCACGCGAGACGACAGCGCCGCCAAGTGGAAGCAGATGCCATCAAAGCAGTCTTGTACTCGGGTGAGCATGAGCAAAATTAACACGCGTCTTTTCCCATATCTCTATGTCCCTCCAAGCATTTTCTATACATCCCATCAGGCACGCTGTCTTCTGGGTGTGCATTTCAGTGGCGTTGAATCAACGCCAGAAAACCTCTGGATATGTTTTGCACACAGCGCGTTTTTTTGTGTGGAAGATTTGCTGGTTTATCCAGGATGTTTCTGTTGCGCGTCGTCGCTTTAAGATGTTCTCCGTTCATATTTTGTTTGTTGCGGTTGCACCTGACTCAAGAGCCGCATGGCTCACAGGGCTATACCAAATAAATGAAATTTGAAAAAACTTGATTTCAAATAATGCGATGCACAAAGCATCTTTTTTTTTATATGGCTGGACAGATAAGGGAAGGAGGCGAATTGTTTGCTTGCTAAGTTACTTTATATCCTCCATAAAGACGCTCATGATTTTCTGCTGGGCAGAAATTCGTTCGTGGTTGATGAAATGTCATATCTGCATCCAACGATGGCTGTCACGGACAGAAACGCTTCAGGTAAAAGGGAGAAGCCACCGCAAAGTGATGAAGAAACTGAACTCATTTGGCAATTAAGAGATGTCGTTGGGAAACATATCAGTACCGGAACAAGGTGAAGAGGGTGCAACTGAGATCAGATGTGGAATAAAGGGAGCATGACCAATGGGCTACCCTTGTGGGAAGAGTATTCAAGAAGACTTCAGGTCACAAGAGTCAAAGTCTCCTGTTCCAATGTATCCCGTCTTCAATCCTCGTACTCTGCCTCGTACCGAGATCACTCCTGACTTGTTATTCCCCTCTTATTCCCTTTCCGCTGTCCTCACACTCCCGTAATCTGACTCCTCTCCCCCTCTCCTCTCGCAATCCGCGTATCCCCATGCCCCACTGTCGATCTCAATGTCTCCGGTCAATTCCGCCACCAATCCTCTTTGCTCTCTCTTCTCTGACGTCCTCTGTCCATCCCCGGCCTCCTCCTCCTCCTGCTGCTGCCTCGTACCCCGAGCCACCCTGGTCTGCGTTACCACCCCCCTCGTGCCCACCCCGCCCACCCCCCCACCACTCACCGTCCCACCCCCCACCACTCACCGTCCCACCCCCCACCACTCACCGTCCCACCCCCACCACTCACCGTCCCACCCCCCACCACTCACCGTCCCACCCCACCACCCCCACCACTCACCGTCCCCACCCACCACTCACCGTCCCCCCCCCACTCACCACCCCCCACCACTCACCGTCCCCCCCCACCACTCACCGTCCACCCCCCACCACTCACCGTCCCACCCCCCACCACTCACCGTCCACCCCCCAACACTCACCGTCCCCCCCTCCCCACCACTCACCGTCCCCCCCCCCCACCACTCACCGTCCCCCCCCACCACTCACCGTCCCCACCCCACCACTCACCGTCCCCACCCCACCACTCACCCCCCCCCACCACTCACCGTCCCCCCCCACCACTCACCCCCCCCCACCACTCACCGTCCCCCCCCACCACTCACCCCCCCCCACCACTCACTGTCCCCACCCCTCACCGTCCCCCACCACCACTCACCCCCCCCCCCCACCACTCACCGTCCCCCCCCCCACCACTCACCGTCCACCCCCCCCATCACTCACCGTCCCCCACCAATCACCGTCCCCCCCCCCACCACTCACCCCCCCCCCACCACTCACCGTCCCCCCCCCACCACTCACCGTCCCCCCCCCACCACTCACCGTCCCCCCCCCCACCACTCACCCCCCCCCCCCCACCACTCACCGTCCCCCCCCCCCCACCACTCACCGTCCCCCCCCCACCACTCACCGTCCCCCCCCCCACCGTCCCCCCCCCCACCACTCACCGTCCCCCCCCCCCACCACTCACCGTCCCCCCCCCACCACTCACCGTCCCCCCCCCCACCACTCACCGTCCCACCCCCCCCACCACTCACCCCCCCACCCCTCCCCACTCACCCCCCCACCCCTCCCCACTCACCCCCCCACCACTCACCGGCCACTCCCACTACTTCCTGACCGGAGCCGCTCTGCACGAGCCACGTGGACCCCCGGCACCCCCCTCCCCCACTCGTCTCCCGCCGATGACGTCATGACGCCGAGTGGCGGCCATCTTAGTAAGGGGACTCCCAGTCCACTACCAGCACTAAGACACAGCACCGACAATACTCATACTGTACTTATAACAATACTAATACTGTACTTAGAACAATATGTACTAATACTGTACTTATAACAATACTAATACTGTACTTATAACAATACTCATACTGTACTTATAACAATACTAATACTGTACTTATAACAATACTAATACTGTACTTAGAACAATATGTACTAATACTGTACTTATAACAATACTAATACTGTACTTATAACAATACTCATACTGTACTTATAACAATACTCATACTGTACTTATATAACAATACTCATACTGTACTTATAACAATACTAATACTGTACTTAGAACAATATGTACTAATACTGTACTTATAACAATACGAATACTGTACTTATAACAATACTCATACTGTACTTATAACAATACTCATACTGTACTTATATAACAATACTCATACTGTACTTATAACAATACTAATACTGTACTTATAACAATACTCATACTGTACTTATAACAATACTCATACTGTACTTATAACAATACTCATACTGTACTTATAACAATACTCATACTGTAAGAACAATACTCATACTGTACTTATAACAATACTCATACTGTACTTATAACAATACTCAGACTGTACTTATATAACAATACTCATACTGTACCAATAACAATACAAATATTGTACGAATAACAATACTAATACTGTACTTATACTAATGTACCGCAAACAATACTTTGACTGTATTGAAAATATTGAAAAAACAGTACTGAAAACGCTGCGCCCAAAAACAAAAACGGTACCGAAAACAAGACTGTACAATACTTTTTAATATTTTAGACGTGGAGGGAAGGGTACTGTCAGCTGATTAATTTTGTTACTTATATTCTCCGTTAAGGACGCTTTAAAACTGGCCTTTACCCCCCCTAAGTTCTGACTGTTTACCCTGGTTCTGTTTATTTCCTCGTATTTTTCATTACACGGGGCCTCATATTTGTATCTCTGGATGAGTAAAAATAATTGTTATTTTTCTGTCATCCCACGGCGAGTTAATCTGCCTTATCCGCCCCTACCCAACGTGGCCGAGGCGACTTCACACAGACACAGACCAGACACACACACGCACACACACATCACCCCCTGCCACCCGTCAACAACGACTCGCAGGCACGCCGGGCTCCTCCGGGTGGATTCACTCGCCACCAGATCATCAACCGCGGTGACCCACAACCCCGTAGCACCCAACCACCACCACTTACCAATCACCACCACCCATCAACTACCACCACTCCTAACCACTAGCTACCAACCAACCACCACCACCCATCAACTACCATCACCCATCAACTACCACCCACCAACTACCACACAACTACAATCCACCACAACCACCCACCAACTACCAACTACCACCCACCACCCACCACCACCACCCACCCACCAACACCAACCACCACCCACCAAGCACCACAACCAACACCCACCACCCACCTACCAAACACCACCACCCACCTACCAAACACCACCACCCACCCAACACCCACCACCACCACCGACCAACCACCCACCAACCACCACCACCCACCAACCACCACCACCCACCAACCACCACCACCCACCAACCACCACCACCACCGACCAACCACCCACCAACCACCACCACCCACCACCCACCACCACCCACCAACCACCACCACCCACCAACCACCACCACCACCAACCACCACCACCCACCAACCACCACCACAACCACCAACCACCACCACCCACCAACCACCACCAAATGTCTTCTCCTCGCCCGTCCTCGTCTCGCCCCCCACCACCCCGTGGTGGTGGTGGCTCTGGTGGTGGTGTTGGTGGCTCTGGTGGTAGTGGTGGCTCTGGTGGTGGTGGTGGCTCTGGTAGTGGTGGTGGTGGTGGCTCTGGTGGTGGTGGCTCAGGCTCTGGTGGTGGTGGTGGCTCTGGTGGTGGCTGTGGTGGCTCTGGTGGTGTCTGGGAGCTGCGTGTCCGCCTGGCGCTGTGCGCGCTCGGGGTGGCGCTGTCGCTACTCGCGCTCCACGTGGAGGCGGCCAAGGAGCGCGACTCGGCCTACGCGGCGTGGTGCGACTTCAGCGACAGCGTCAGCTGCTCAAAGGTCTTCTCCTCCAGGTTACTACGGCATTACATTGTTTTTATTGTTGTTTTGTTAGCGTTCGATTATGTGGGGATCGATTATTGGGTTTTTTTGTCATCCGTCGTTTATTGGGCGCACGCGGTGGCTATGAGATGTTGACTACCTCGTCTGGGATACAGGTGGTCGTGGTTTCGAGCCCGACCCTGACAATGCCTGCCGCTGTATATTTGGAGTTTGCGTGTCTCTCTCATCATCATCACGGTGGCTATGCGATGTTGACTACCTCGCCTGGGATACAGGTGGTCGTGGTTTCGAGCCCGACCCTGACAATGCCTGCCGCTGTATATTTGGAGTTTGCGTGTCTCTCTCATCATCACGGTGGCTATGAGATGTTGACTACCTCGCCTGGGATACAGGTGGTCGTGGTTTCGAGCCCGACCCTGACAATGCCTGCCGCTGTATATTTGGAGTTTGCGTGTCTCTATCTCATCATCACGGTGGCTATGAGATGTTGACTACCTGGCATGGTATGCAGGAGGTCGTGGGTTCGAGCCCGACCCTGACAATACCTGCCGCTGTAGATTTGGAGTTTGCATGTCTCTCTCTCTCCCCCTGGTCGCGTGGATTTTCTCCAGGTCCTCTCGGTTTTTCCCTCCACATTTATAACCTGCCGATAAGCCTTTTTGCTCGAGCTATCATTTGTGATAGCCAGGTCGGTGGACCATTACCTGGTAAATGAAAACTAAAATGTGTTTAGTTTCAGTCGTATAGTTTTTTTTGCGACTAAGGTGATCACTGTCGATGTGAAGCCAGCACCATCGCTAACGCTCATCGCTTCCCTCTGGCTCTGCAATCGCTGCTGCTACTACCACGGCTGCTGCACACGTGCTTACTACACCATATGGTAAACAAACAAGAACCTCAACGCACGTGTTCATATGCCATGGGTGGAAAAAAAAACAGATTTTTCCAGCGGCAGGCATCGGGTTTTTTCTTTAATACAATTAAACCCGATTTTGGGGATAATTAAAACCTGGTTTAATGAATACTAAACTCTGATCCAAGGCTTAGGCTGCTTCCTCGTCGGTGCTGCTGCTATCGTACTCGGGGGGGCCGTCGGGCACGGGGTAGTCGTAGAATGCGGCGGGCAGGTTGGTCTTGATGAACACGAGCTTCTCCTCCACAATCGTGGGCGCCAGTGAGTTCCTTAGCTTGGAATGGATGAAGCCCATCGTTGAGAAGTGCGGTTCTGCAATTATAACCAATTCAACCGGATTTCTCCCAATCTCAGATGATCGGGTTTAATATCAGTCCCTCCAGAAAAACGCGGAGTTTTTTGGTGACTGTTGCGGGCAAAAATCGTTGATTATGCGGCACGTTTTCTTAAAAAATGCGATGGAATATGCGGGATATTTATGCAATTTTATGCGATTAAATTGCGGGAACTTGCAAAAACTGCGGTTTGATGAAAAAGAGAAAAAAAAAGTGATTCCCCCAACACCCTATTCACTAGGCTACTACTTTAATGTAAAGAGTCATTTCTTATTACTTCCTATGATAAGCAAGCATACTACATCACAGAAAGTGCTGGGAATATTTAAGTTCTCATCTTGTTTTATTTCAGACCTTAACAAACAGATGGCTCAAACTTACAAAACATTGAGTCGAACAAGTTCTGTAGCTTTACAAAATGAATATGCTACAACTTCTGTAAAAATGAATAAATAAAATATTAAAAAATAAAATGTGTGCTTCCTGTTTTACAGAGGTAGCTATACAAAACAGACATCTTCTGTTAAAATAAGTGTTTTCAGTGCACAGTAACGTAAGCAATACAGTAACAGTACAGTCTTACAGTAATGTAAATGTACATACTACTAACAAAAAAGTGCAATCTTACAACTGTAAAGTTGCATAAACTCCTGAATAAAACTAACTACGTAGCCTCTAACACTTCATAACGTTCCCATGGCAACAGGGGAAACGGCTGCGCTTGTGTGAAGTAAACGCAACATTTTTCAACTTTCTGCTAAGATATATGTGACTTTTTGCAACGAAAATGCGGGGATTATGAAATCATGCAAGCCCGCATATTTTGCGCGCGGAAATCTGCAATTTATGCGGCAAAAGTGCGGCGTATTTGAAAAAACGCGCCCCCCGCATAAATATGCGGACTTTGGCTGATTTTGCGTGGAATCTTGCGATCGCATAATCGCGTTTTTCTGGAGGGACTGTAATATAAAAAAGACAATTAAACCCGATTGTAAAAAACCCGACTGTGCCACCCATGGCATATGCAGCACCAGCGCTAAGATTGTCTGTGTCGTCTCATCCACAACGCCAACCACCACCACCAACACTGCAGGTCACAACGACACTGACCCACTCATTCACTGAAATACACAGAAAAATATCTCTCCCCCTCCCTCCCATATATACCTGAGACTTTTGGGGCAAAGTGTCAGAGGGCACCTATGAAGGACGCCGGCACGGTACACAAGAGGGGGGGGGGGGGGTGGGTGGCACCACGCCCGACCGCCTTTGTCTCCCCGGTGGTGATGTTTACACACCGCACCAGGTACTCATTTGAGGCTGAGTCGACCTGGGGGAGGCTCAGGGCCGGTTAAGATAACACTGTAACAAAAACATATTTTTTTGTTCATGGGTAGTAAGTGTTATTTTGTAATTGCTTATGCCTCAAAAGTACAGGAAATGTCTATTATTCCCCACAAACTTTGCTTTTGTGACCAGGACAGTGATATTTTAAATGTGCCTATTGTCAATGAGAAACGTGGTGTGCATTTGTGTATTTCATTCACATAAAGTCCTGGTCACAAAAGCAAAGTTTGTGGGGAATAAAAGCCATTTTCTATACTTTTTGAGGCATAAGCAATTATAAAATAACACTACCCAGGAACAAAAATAATGTTACGTAGTGTAATCGTCACTGGCGTTTGGCCGTGAGCAGGAATCAAACTTGGGTTGCGGGGTTCGTAGCGGAGCACGCTAACTGCGAAACCACCGCTCTGCTTGATTCACTCACTAACAACTCACTCACTCACCATACGCCAGGTCCCAACAGCACACCGACTCGCGCACTCGCTTCACTGGCCACAACTGCAGGTCACCACCATTTCTAATTTCTGCTTCTTCGCTCCCAACTCCACCACTTTTGAAATTCCCTTCCATTCATCTCTTATTGCGACGATGAGTTAAGAGGGTAGAGAGTTTACAGGTCCCGCGCGCATGCCATTGCTGCCGGCAGGGCCACCACCAGAGGGAGCTCTAGAGACGATGTTTGTGGTCTTAACTTTTCCGAATTGGGCCAGACGTCTCTGAAGAGGTGGGGAATGCAGTTCCAACACTTTACCCCATCACAAGCGATCTGCCTGTCGACACAACTGTAGTTCGCTCAACGATACCGGCTGGGGGGCGGTTAAATTAAACTTGATAAAGGGAGCATGCCCTTGCCGTACCGGGAGATAGAATTAAACTAACGACCCCTGGATTGCATATTCAACCTAACCATTACACCGCGACAGTATTGGATGAGTGGTCGATTATTTGCATCGTCGGTTTGAGGCGGTGAATGTGCATCCATCCGTCAATTAATCTCCTGGTATCACCCATGGTCCCGGGCAATTATTACTCCAACTGGGACAGCACTATCATTGTCTGCCCCCCTGTCCTCTGGGCCCAAGCCGACTGCCTCCATGTCTTCATCCATAGGGGTGGTGTCATCATCTGTGACTGGTAGCCACAAGCCAGGGGTGCCGGTTGTAAAAAAACTATTGTCTGGGTAACTGGTAGACTGGAGTAGGTGGCACGTGGCAAGTAGTAATGCTGTTGTTTGATCGCTCCATCTTGTATGTGCTTGTCAAGGTGGGGACGTGGATTCGGTCTTGTGGCTCCGCTGTTCGGACAGAGCAGCCTGCTCAACCAGCCCAACAGTGTCTTCGGGGTCATCTTCTACTCCCTGCAAGTCCTGCTGGGTGTGTGCAACAACAAGCAACAACCAAACGGCTGTTCTCCATGGATTCATTTCACACCGAATATATATTTTTTGTTCGTATTGCTCGTAGACTTAAGCATAGGTGCCATGTGAATTGTAGCCACGGGCATTGCAAGAGGTATACTGGATGTGGTGTGCTTGGTGCAGAAATATTTTACGGGGCTGTTGACCTGGTGGCCACTCAGCTGAACTGAAGCCGTGGTTCGGGCACAACTTTCAGATGGTGGCTTAGCTATCAAGGGTGCAGGCAGCGCAACTGCACTGAGGGCCCAGGTGATAAGCTGTGAATATGGAGAGGTGGAAGGGGTGGGAGGGGTCATGGATTGTGGGGGGGGGCATTTTGTTATCTGCACAGAGGCCCATTACAAACCATGCTGTGTCATTGAAATTGAGAGTTCACATTGTAGATAATCTGAAATGGACTCTTAGCCGTTCCAACTTGTGTTTGCTCGCAACATTCCACACTGCCACGTTTGCGCGTTGTAGCTCAGCCGTTCCACTAAAAGTATACGAGTTAAACTTTTGGTTGGGGGTTAGCACATTCTATCGTCACACTGGTGATGATAAAATAAGTACAACGTTTTTGGATATTTTAGTTTTCTTTTCCATAGAATGGCCCTGACCATGATGATGTGGAATTGCAACCACTGGCTCTGCACCACCAACGTGCAGTGACACATTGCTAGGTGGAGAACACACTTTGACTATGCAGTCTGGTGATGTGAAGTGATGATCAACCAGTCACATTAATAAAACGTTGAACTTGATGATTCCGAATGTGTTCCACTTTTGTGTGGGTTTTATCTGGGTATTCCCCATTTACTCCCATTCAAAAATACAAAATGGTCAGATATCTCCATCAGCTGTGGTCTTCAGTCAAACTGTTCCTGCCACTGATTAACAGTCATGGAATGATGGATAGATTGATAGCATTGCGTGGTTGAATTCAGTATTTTGAAGGCATAATTTATCGCTGTTTTCCAGGTTGCTGGCATGTAAATAGTAAGCCACAGGCAGGGATACTGGTTGCTGACCCTTAAAAACTTGGCTGATATTAAGCTCCGTGTTTTTGTGATATGCTGTATGTGATAGGTTTGTATCAATCCCGCAGCCACTGCTGGTGCTACATTCACCAGTGATATAGAAACGATTCGCAATCGAATCGTGACCCAAAATTACAACATGTTATATTACATCGCAAGAGGAGTGAATCATTCCCTGCCAAAAAAAATAAACATTTTCCTCCAGACCCCTCTTGTTATCCTAGACGATCCAACACCTGGCGAACTTCACCGAGGTTCGTTTTTCCGCGTTGCAGGCATCTCGCATCCGAGCCGTGCGGGCAACCTCGTGCTGCTGGGGACCTCGCTGGTGTCGGTGGCCGGAAGCTTTTACCTCGCCTTCATCCTCTTCGGCGTGCTGCATGACTTCTGCATCATTTGCGTCTCCACGTACGCCATCAACTTCCTGCTGACGGCCGTCAACGTCGCGCGCATGCGGAGCGGCTCGTCGCGAAAAGCCGCGCACAAGCGCGACTGATCGCTCCGCAAAACGATCCCGCCGTCCAAAATGATTCCACGCGGGCCGCCGCACCGTAAACGCAGAGGTCGTCTTGTGATGTCACCACGTGCGACGGAGATGGTTTTGCGTCTGCTGGAGGCGGGGGTGTGTTGCACTTGTACCAGCGGCAGTCGTTCTCGACAGCCGCATGAAAGCAACTGGTGCTTTGGCTCGACCCCCCCCCCCCCGACGTGTTTACCAAGTCGTACCGCGCGTTTGTGTGGCACGATGTCCAACGTTTCGTTCCACGTGGTTGGGATCTTCGAGTTGTGGAGCGGAATGAACGTCGGACGTCACGTCGCATAACCCGAACACGAATCGGGGAGAGCTGTGCAGCAACAACCGTGAAAACCTTCGCGAAATGGAGCGATGTCAAATCTGATAGGAACTACTTGGCAATTGTTGTGTACGAATGGCAAAACTGTTAATTGTTATTTAATTGTTGTTGTTGCTATTACTTTAAGTTTATAAGAGAATCGCGGAGGGCGTCATACTTGACCGTTGATAAAAAATGAAGTCGCAGGTAAAAACATTTTGGCAGTAATGAGATGTTGTGGAAGCAAACCGAGAGATTGCAGGAGCGATTTTCAGTGAGGTTAATCCTCTCATGTTACATATCTGCCAAATTAATGTTACTATCTGCACCATCCATTCCTGGACCTATACAGCAAAAATCAGGTTACTTTGTCTTGAAGATTTTTTTTTTCCAGATGTGGGCATGGTCAGCTCAAGTGTGTGTGCCGTTTTTACACAGGTCAGTCAAAATATCTTTGGGAAATATTATTGGTCATTGGGGTACCAACACGTCACCTTTACAGGACAATTGTTACAGTCGCAGCCAACAAAAAAACCTGCCCGAGCTGTACGAGAGATAAAATGGTGTATGTGAAATGACACGAGGGCCAAAAGCAAAGATGATGTCATGAAAAATGTTTATTTTGTAGGTTAACAATGACTAAATGAACTTCCCATTTTGTTATACAATTGCACATTCTGTCTCTAAAATGTGATTGTTACGTATCAAGATGTCATGAAAAATGTTTATTTTGTAGGTTAACAATGACTAAATGAACTTCCCATTTTGTTATACAATTGCACATTCTGTCTCTAAAATGTGATTGTTACGTATCAAGATTGTTACAAGTTTTTGAACAAACGTCAAAAGCTGTTGAGAATAATTCCTAAGAAATTTTGTCAATGTTTCATAAATAAAAAAAATACAATTCTTTAACATTGCAGCATAATTTTTTCAACCGAAACATTTATAAATTCCATTTATTCCTAAGCGCTTGAGGTTGAAATAAATCATTTACAAAACAATGGTTGCTCACAACTGTGAAAGCAAAGGAATGTGCTCAGCAATTTTGGGAGTCCTGACACACACAAAAAACTTGTGCCAAGCCGCGCTGTGGACGGTGGGGGTCAATGGATCACTTTTTTGATCAATTATTCGACTCTACAAACACCAGGCCCAGCGTGACATGGATGTTGATGTCGCCAAGCCTCGCCCATCGCAGCGGTACGCGTGAAAAACAAGAGGCGAGACGTTTATTTCTCCCAACTGTTGTCGTGTTATCCGATTTTAGTCGAACAATCGTACTGATAATCGGTAGAGAAATCGATTGCTTAAATAATCCGATAGCCCAGCTCTGGTGTGAAGTCACTGCGAAGAAAACATGCCTCTTAAGTGGCGCTGGTCATATCTTGTAGATGATTAGAATTTGTTACAAAACAGCATATTTTTTGGATGTGATATTCACTGTCAAAGTTATTAAATATAAATCAGAATCCTCGAAGCTGTTCCAATAAAAATTAAGCTGTCGATTATATCGTTCTCAATAACTTCAAATCGTCAATGACAATTGGTTTTTAATCCTTAAAAATCACTGACAAAATATACCTTTGATAAGTGGAGAGTATTTTGACTAAGGCACTGGTAGTAGTTGTCGGTGATTTATTTTAATCAGTGGCTCTTAACAAAAATGACATCCATATAGTCCCATTCACCAACAATGAAAAAAGTGAATAAAAAACATCAGCTGCAAATACCTCTCCTACACCAACCAGACAGACTGCATGAATGGAGACTTTCAAATTATTTGTTCCACATTGAAGTCTGAGTGTTCGCAGAGTTGGGGTAGGGTTTGCCGGCGTCTTCAGCGGCCGCGCCTCATTACCCCTTGGGTGCCAGCAATAGCGTGAGAAGCGAGATAGCAAGATCGAGCACGTGTTAATTTCCACCAAGCCCCCAAGCCCCCCATCCTTCTCCCCACCCCCCTCCCGCTAGTGGTACGATGTGCTCAGAATGGACGACATTCCGTACCCGGTCACGTGCGGCACCGTCACGTTCGCTAGCTTCCAGTATCGCTCGCGGAGGAGGAAGGCCGCCGACTTGGGCTGTCGCTGGCGCGTGAAGATTCCCTTTCTGTTGCCGACGACGCGCGTGACGCCTGCTCGCCGCGGTCACGTGGGAGGTGCAACGATCAACTTGACGTCGTCGTACAGAGACAGAGATCCCCCGTGTAGCCAAGTGCTGTAAGCGGGCACGGCTCATGTGGGGGCTACGTAAACCTTAACTATTTTGTTTACCAGGTGAAGCCCAGAGGTATTAGCTCTTTTTCAGAGGCGATCTGGCAACACGTAGCTTATCGAAGTGACTTATCACTTGGGGAATTTATAGTAGCCAAATAAACTGAACGCACATTTCCAAATGTGGAGGGCAAAACCGGAGGACCTGAAGAAAAATCCACACACCCACAGGGATAACAACGCAAACTCCAAATATACAGGCTTCAGGGTCAGGATCGAACACGCGACCTCCTGCATACCAAGCGAGGGAGATAACATCTTGCTTTCGCAGTGCAGATGTTTACGAACCGTGCTAATAACCGGTTCAGATATTTACCACTAGTTTCGAAGCAGTGCCGCCATTCCACCACCAGTCATAAGTGACAAAATATTCACAGGCATGCATAAGGAGTGTCAAGATGTGCAAAACTCGCAAACGTGACTGAGGTATACAAGAACACACCTTGCTGCGTTGCGAAGTCTGCAAAGTTCCAGATCATCTCGCCGATGAAGTATGCGACACGTTTCTCGTCAAAAACTTCAAAGTAACTCTTCATGACGGCTTCCTGGTACTCCTCTGTAAACATCAAAGGGGGGTCCTGGGAAAGTGAATGGGTCAGAGATCAACGCTTTGAGTGGATGGTTTTTATAATGAAGCTCTCCTGTGTGAGTTTCAAGTAGGCCATGTAAAAATCCATCCCTGGTACAAATCAAAATGTCGAAGATTCGATTCCAGAATAAAATTTTGTTTTGGTCTCGATTATTATTGCTAATAGTTTTTTTACCCTTCTATCTGGCAACAAAACTGACACCTTTTTTACAAGGAGTCATGTTTGCATTGACCACAATACCTGCAGTTGGAATGCAAAAAAATACATAACTCTGATAATGTATGCACTGTCCTTGAAATTGATTGGTCCACACCCGAGACAGCTTTCCTTAGAGCCTAGTCTCTCATGGTGTTGGACCAGATGACGCCAAAAAGCGCAGGTGTCAGTTTTGTTGCCAGATAAAAGGGTAAAAAACCAATTATCATATTTTGCTACTGGCAAATGAGGTTCCAATGATGTCGATTGTTATTGTTTCTCGTTCTGTTTCGATTGCATCTCGTTTGCACTGGTCTCTCCGACCTATTCGTACAATTTGCTTGTCCGTTATCTTTTTCATTTAAGAATCGATTACGCGGCTGCAGGATTTACGCAAGCCACCAAATCACAAGCACGTGAATGAACGAACGCTCTTGTATGGCGTTCGAGAAGCGGCGTGGCATGGTGTGGCGGAGGGGAGCGGGAGGGGGCGCCGGCCTCACCGAGTGCAGGCCGGGGATGGTGTCGGCTCCGTACTCGGTCTGCAGCACGGGCTTGCCGTGCTTGGCGTGCCAGCCGTCCAGCGCGTAGCGCAGCTGCGGCACGATCACCTCCAGGTGGCCTGCGTCGTGGTACCACGAGTAGTACGCGTTGAGGCACACCACGTCCGTGTACTGCGCCTGCCGCCGTGAACGGTCGTGGTTGGCAACGCACGGCGAACGAGTTAAGGTGGCACTGGGCTGTGAAGCCGTCGGGACTCGAGTTTGATTCCCGGTCTTGGCAAACATCTGTGGCGAGGACGTCTGAACTGGTGAATCCCCCTCAAGGGCAGTATCGGTGATGAATATGTTCATCGGTCCAAGGCCTCTCATAAGTTGACTCATGCTTAAATGAGTACCTGGTGCGGTATATAAATATCGTCACTGGGGGGACAAAGGTGGCCAAGAATAATATCAGCTACACAAACCCCTTGTGTGCCGTGTTGGCCAAACTAGGTACATTCCACTCCAGGACTGCCCTTCCTTTGAATGGGTGTGTTTCTCTGTGTGTATATATGTAAATATGTCTTTATCCCAGGTCACTCTGTTGCAAATGAGACGAATACTCATCTCTTGGGGCCTCGCCTGGTTAAAAGCAAAATAAAATAACTTGAACTCTTACCGCCTTGTCAGTTTGGAAGCTCTGGTTAATGACGTAGGTGACTGGGCGAGTTGGGTCCAGATGCCGCGTATGTTCGATAACAGTCCTGAAAGACAACGTTTTTACAACGGGAGAACAGTAAACTACTCAAGTTTCAAGTTTATTTATTAGGTATAGCCCTGTGAGCCATTCGGCTCTTGAATCGGGTACAACCGCAACAAAAAAAAACAAAAACATGAACATGAAAACATCTTAAAGTGACTATGTGCAAACTGAAAATCCAGGAAAAAAAACAGCAAAAAAATTCCAGAAAAAAGCACCATACACCAATGCCCGCACCTTTACATTGTTCCATTTTCAAATACACCGTAGAACAGAACATACAATTGTCATTACAATCAAAACAAGCATGCCATCAGCCACTGCCAAGCATCCAAAAATTTATAAAATACCTAAATAATTGTTCTATCATTACCCTGGAGAACCTGGATCTCGACCATTTTCACGAGGGTTCTGCCGAGTAAGTTTGGAGCAAATTGATTACCATTTAACACGTGTTTTGCCATTTAAATTTCCAGAGAGATATGTTTGACTGTTAGATAAGCAAAGTGGGCTCGTGCAGGACGCGTCACTAGAAGACGTGACGACCAGTCATGACCAGCGATGGAGTGGCGGCCAAAGGGGGGAAAACACGCCCGACATGTCCACTGTGGAGTTGGAGAAATAAACTATTCACTATTTTTATGTTACCCGGTAAGGCCCACTGAGCTATATAGCTATTTTGTTTTTAAGCGACCTGGCCACAAATGATAGCGCAACGAAGTGACTTATCCTCATGCTAACATTTATAGGAACCAACGCTCTTAAGGCATGTGGATTCTAAATGTGGATGGAAAAACCGGAAGACCTGGAAAAAAATCCACGCGACCACAGGGGGGAGAACATGCAAACCCCAAATATACAGCAGGCGTCAGGGTCAGGATTGAACCCACACGCTCCTGTATACTAGGCGAGGTAGTTAACATCTTGCCACCCGGGGCCCCTGAGATCAGCCGAGATCAGATCATGAATACGTGCTAGACGGATTGTTGTATCGCGTGGTTAATGAAGGATATGAAGGATGGCAATGGCTCGGGTGAGGCCTTCAGCCGTGGACTGATAACAGCCAAGGCTTAGGATTTTGTAACAGAGCTCACAAAAGGAAACTGTGAATCAATTTAAGTCTATACAATTTTGGAAATGTTGTAGAAACGCATTAAGATGAGGTGCTTTCATTATTTCAAAAAACGGTACAGGGAACAGATGTATATTTTCCCATTGAAGCCTTGTTTTTCCCAGCACCTCAGTCGTGAATTTAATTAAAACCAAAATCATTGCCTTAATTATGGCTAACGGTAGCAATGATGACAATTCCGATGATGATGACAACGAGATATTTGCCCTAAATTAAATTTCTTGTCGAGATGTTTGGCAAATTCCTCACACGCCGAAACACAAACTGACGGAAAGGGAGAGCACACACTTGAAGTAGGGCTCTGCGACGGACAGCTGAGAGGCGGGCTCGTTGGCGACGGACCACATGACCACGGAGGGGCGGTTCTTGTCTCTCCTCACGAGCTCTCCCATTACCGCCAGGTGGTGCTCCAGCGACGCGTTCCCAAAGTTGGCGCTGTGTGTGGAAGGGTGGACACGTGACAGCTACGGCAAAAAAAAAACATTTTTTTCTGGCCTGGACTTTTGCAGATGTTTTAGACTAATTTCAGGGTGCCGATTCCAAATCTGATCTCAGATTTGCTCTATCATATCTCATGTTTATGCTATCGGCATACCCCATTTTCATTGATTTTACCCAAAATTAACTCTGTCACTTATGATTGCAAGTTGTTCCGAGTCAGTGACTGCTTTAGTGTTAAAATATGGTGCTGTATTTTTAGGATAGTGTGTTAATAATATCATTTTATGTAGATATCCACATTTATTTAATATTTTTCTTCTGCAGTTTTTATTGAAAATGCAATATTTTATATCTCAAAAACCTGATGTGATAGACAAAAACTGATGCCAGATTTGGAATCTGCACCCCAAAATTACCTTAAAACCGTTGGAATACCTTATGCCAGAAAAAGTGTGTTGACCAGTGTAATAGCAGTAGTAGTTATCAACTTAACACGTAGGATTTTGCAGCCAATGTTAGGATTCACAAATAGATTTTTGGGTTTTAAGCAGTTCTGACATGCTGGATTTTATTCTCACTTCCTGGATTTTCCTGCAGATACTTGGTGCAGTTTCAAGTGAAACGTATTTAATTGCAAAATTTTGTTGTGAGAATCGGTCAACTTACCGGTGAGCTGAAACAATAACTGGCACGTTAAACGCTTGTACAAGTGACAATTTAATTTGTTGGCTATGTCTGGTGGCGAAGGGTCCTGCGACAGAAATTTGACCAAAACAGTATATATAGGCACACCACACTTAGTCATGGTGGAGAGCTGTCAACTACCTCACCTGGTAAACAGGAACTTGTGGGTTCGATCCCGACCCAGACGCCTGTATATTTGGAGCTTGCATGTCTCTCCCTGTGGTCGAGCGGATTTTTCTCTGGGTGCTCCGGTCTGCTATAAAATTCCACGTGATAAGCCACTTCGTTGAGCTATCATTAATGGGCAGGTCACTTCTGAAAACAGCTATATAGATCAGTAGGTCTTACTTAGTAAAATCAAATAAAATGTTTTTAGTTTAGTAATTGATCGGCAGGTTGCGTGTGGTGGAGCAAAGCATGGGAATACTAACCTCTGGCCAAGACATCTGGCTAGCGTGGAAGAGTAGGCCAAATACCCTCAATAGCTCCATCTAGTGGAAGCCCTTGTGCCAGCCGTGACACGAGCAGATGATAGCATGGTTGCATCTCCGCCTTAAATACTCGTTGATGTACCCATTGAGCCATGTATCGATTGACGGACTACAATGATTTAATATCCCGATTGACTGATGCGCAGACTCACGGTTGGGTGATGCCCACGCCTGGACACTCATCGATGATGACGATGCCGAGACGGTCGCACGCGTCCATCAGCTCCTCGGCATACGGGTAGTGGCTCGTGCGGAATGAGTTGGCGCCCAGCCACCGGATCAGGTTCAGGTCCTTGGCCAGGATCGCCCAGTCGAAGCCTCGGCCGCGAATCTGCCGACAAAAAAAATCTAATTTAAAAACAACTTGCCACTCACGTTTCTTAACAGTTTGAATTATATACTTTTCCCCTGGGTATTACAAGCATGTATCCCTTTTTGCACATTTTTGGAAATAACCATTATTCTGAACTTTGTCAAAGCAAGTACACTTTTGAAAAATATTCTTGTTGAGATATGTTGGTATATTACTTTTCATATTAACATTTTTCAAGGAAGGTTGAACACGTTTGTGCAGTATCTCTGTCAGCAACAGGGGGGAGTGAGGAGGAGGAGGGCTGCTCACGTCGCTGTCCTCGTGCTTGCCAAATCCACGGAAGTAGAAGGGCTCTCCGTTGATGAGAAACTGCGTGGCGGTGACGCGCAAGGTGCGAATGCCCACGGGGAGGTTGTACCAGTCCTCGCGCCGCTCGCCTCTCACCAGCGACTTGGCGTGGACCTGCATCGCAAGCCCTCCGCAAAGTCAGCCGTGCGACCGTTCGTGTTTTAGCGCCTATGCCCTCCCGCTGTGTGTGTGTGTTTTCACCGAGTAATTCAGTTTGCCTAGCCTGCGTAGAATGAAAATGTAATAAATAGAATGAAGGGGTCAAACTTTGCCACGCAGGACCATATTGGAAACTAGTCTTGAGAATCGGTGACAAACAAATGGGGCAGGAAGAAAGCACCAATGCCAGCGGCTCCCAAATTATGATACATGTGCTACCGGAAAACGAGCAGTCTGTTTGCATTAGTGTGCACATCTGTATATGCATCGGTGTACGTACATTTCCATGTTTCTCATTGGTACCATACAACGTATAACGACGCAATGTCCAATCCACAAATAGGAAAGGAAACGTCACAGCGATACTCATCGCTACTCCTGACACGAATGTCTAGTTTGACCACCTGGATGTGAAATTGTAGTTGTGGCTCTGCATCTAAATCAGCCATACGAAAGAAGAATATTTATGTTACATATTGTAACTTAAATTGTAACCTCTGCCTTGTTGAATACTGACATCATTGACGTCGTTGAGTGCAGATTTTTTTCACGCGCCCCACAACAACACATGTGCCGTGCTGCCGTGCACACTCTCTCTTCTCTCCCTCACCTGCAGCGTGTACAGGTAGCCCGCCTCGGGGCGCATCGTGAGCGGCCACCACAGCTTGGGCCGTGCCACCTTGAGCGTGCCGACGCCGTCGCTGCAGTTCGCCTCCCCCTTCGCCACCTCGTGGCCCTCGCGGTCGCTCAGCGACACCACCAGCTGGCACTCGTCCGCGCCCACCACCGACACGTTGTAGTTCACCACGCCTTGGTCGAAACCAAGAGCAGCGCAAGGTGGCATCAATGCCGCAGCCCCGCAATTACATCCTCAGGTCGTCCCTGCTGGCGAAAAGGGCCACCACTCTAGGACACTCTAAAGCGCCCGGTCAGGAGGGTGTGTTTTGGCCTACTCTTCCACGCTGGCCAGACGTCTTGGAAGAAGTGGGGAGTACCTACACTTCACCCCACCACACGCGACCTGCCGAATGACTGTGGTGTACCCATTAATACTGTTGGAAGGACAGGAGGATTTTAAAAAAGAAATCCCATTATTTCAACTGCTGCACTGGGAGATTGAACCGGTGCTCTCTGAATAACAAAGTGCACGTAATAGTTAAATATTGCAATTTTCATGGAATAAGTGTCGCTTAAGATAAAATCACCTGGACCAATCTCGTCGGATCTCAGCAGCCAATCAGAGTTTAGCCTGGAGAGCGCTCGGATAGGTAACTACCCTTCACAAATAGGTCATCGTGGGGCTTGCCGGGTTATGTGGCCAGTTGTTAACTACCTCGCCTGGTATACAGGAGGTTGTGGGTTCGATCCCGACCCTCACGCCTCTATATTTGGAGTTTGCATGTTTCTCTCCCCGTGGTTGCGTAGATTTTTCCCCGGGTTCTCCAGTTTTTCTCGCTAAATTTCTAAACGTGCGTTTAGAGTATTTGGCTGCCACTTAAAATTTCCACGTGATAAGCCACTTCGTTGAGCGCTTCTGAAAAAGAGCTACATAGCTCAGTGGGCCTTACCTGGTAAAATAAAAATAATTGAGATTATAGAGTATGTAGTGGCCAGCCAAGTGCGATGCACAAACTCTAGCATATGCAGAGCCCACACCCAGGTCGTCGTAGGAAGTCGGTGAGTACGGTGACGTCGTCGATGAAGGCGTCCGGCGTGGAGTAGAGCAGCACTGGGCGGTGGATGCCAGCATAGTTGAAGAAGTCAAACTGGATGTTTTGAACAAAGTATCCTCGCGGGTACCTGTGTGCAATAGCAACGATCGAAATTGCGTCAAAAAAATCGAGCGGGGGAGTGGGGGGCCAGAGATGCTAAATTCTGAAAGGATGACATGTATGGTCCTTTTCTCAATCCACTGCTGGATGAGGGCCTCCCCACACCAAAATGATAACCAAACCCAAAACCCCAACCTATGACGCCTAATCCCTATCCCAAACCCTAACTCAAACCCTACACGAAAACTGAAGAATCCACATTTCTTCATATTTTATCAACTGAAAGATAAAGTGGGAATTGAAAATAAACGGCTGTTTAGTAAACGCAAATCAAACATTAGACACAATCCTGATGGATGTTTACAGAAAATTGTGCGGGGATGGGAGCATCAGAGATACGGTTTCTTTTCCTATGTCTACAGTGAACAGTCGTCACCCAGACGCTGCACTACAAAGTGGGTAAGGCAGACAAGGGGGCTCCCCCATTTTATTCCTTGCATTAGGACCTATGGCACCACGCTACACCAATGGAAACCTGGTGAGTGGTAAGCCAAATGAGTGGGTTGTTTCGACCTTGCAGATGATGCCACAGAGAAAACATGCTCAAGCGTGGACTCCAACGGGTGGTGGCACCTGAGCGTGTCCCGCATGTACTCGATGCTGCCGGGTGGCAGCGTGCTGGGCGTCAGGGTGTTGTTGACGGCCACGGTGATGCGGCATGGTGTGGAGGCCGGAGAGCGCACGATGGCCGTTATGTCGGCCTCGAATGGGAGGTGGCCGCCTTCGTGCCGTGTCACTTCCTTTCCATTTACCCACTGTCAAGAAAAAATAAAGGAATATACAAAATCATTGTTCAGCTGTCAAAGACCGCGAGGGACAAGTGACGTTTAGCGAGTGCCTATTAATGTTGGGATGGTGGGCGTACGAAGGAACGATGTGGCTCATTTAACTTAGAGTTGATCTAGGAAGCCCCAGAACAGGTTTACAAATGACTTGCCACTGATGTTAGCCGTGGCCAGAAACCAAACCCAGACTGCACAACATTTAAGAAAAAAAAACACGCACACATTTACATAAAGCAAATGTGCATATTAATTAATTCAAGACATTGCTTCTAAGAGCATACTTATAATAGTATCTCATTATTGACATACAGCGATCCAACAATCTAGAGGGAATGAAAGGGGCCATCCCACGGGTGGCTCTGTGGTGTCATCTCACCAGGACTGTTATCAACACAACTTAATCAAATATGCAGTGGACAGAATGTTCCTCCATCCCATTCTCCAGGAAGTGGCGCCAAGTGAAAGCAAATTAAGAAAAAGCTTAGGGGTCCAAACAGCTCATGGGCCCCGAGATTAAACTCAAAATGAAATCCGAACGTAACATGCTAATTAACAAAAAAGCAATTACTCGCTCATCTTCTGCATTTCTCTTCTCTCAGATCACTACAGTAGCATCTCTATAGACATCTATCTGTTGTCTTCACCCGCTCCTCCGTTTAGCATGGTTGGCTATGCACGGTGAAAAATAAGTTCAACATTCATACATGGATATTATGAATTGAAAGGGGGAGGGAGCCCACCCCAAGCACCCCCGACCCCCCAAAAACAAACTGCCTTAGGGACCCCAATTTGCTCGCACCACCACTACCGCCAAGGGGCAACCCACCACGATGGCGTTGTAGTGCACGCTGCCGAATCGCAGCATCACCCTGCGGTTGGCGTTCTCGGCGACCCACGACGAGGGCACCCACGCGTGCCGCTCGTACCACGCCCAGCCCACGAAGTCGCGCAGCGCCGCCTCCTGCGTCACGTCGTTGTAGCTCGAAGGCACGGGCATCTCCAGCACCGGGCCCGTCTTGTCGAGGGGGCAACAAGTGAAGGCGAGGGAGAGTAAGGAAACAAAGGGGGAGGGGGCAATGATACTCACGTCAGTTTAACATGTAGGCTTTCGCGACCGATATAATCCATGTTTCTTTTGGGTTAAATTGCGTAAACATGAAGGGCGTTAAACCCGCTACCACCCAACACTGCCAATTAGAAAAGTTTACATTTTGACTTAAAGCTTTCGTGACTGCAGGAATTAATATTCTTGGGTCTTATTGTCTTTGAACCTATCTACATGACTTTACCAAAAGACCCAAGAATCAGTAAGGGTTGTCACGTAAACAGAACATGCCAATTAGTTACTAGTACAGCACACCGGTGCGTTGGAGAGCAAATCCACAACATTTACAATCTAAGTACGATGTTTCGCGAGTAATTACAACTAGCTTCATCAGGCGGACTGCCGGATTTGTGGAGAAATCCTCCCGTTTCGTCATCCCTCACCGTTCTGCGATGCACATACCTCCTCTCCAAGCTTGTTCACGCACTTTACAACTTTTGTCAGCGTCAGCGTTACATTCCACATGTCGTAACAGGTAATACGCATTGATTTATTATTTTTTTGGCAAATTAGGAAGGTGCTTTTCCATCTCGCTCCATCTTCAGCAGCCCGCATTGATCAATGGGTAAAACTCAGGCCACTGGGTCCACAGCACTGTGGGCTCTTGCGTACGCTTACACACGTGTAACTCTCTTACACATATGTAATGCTCTTACACACACGTGACGCTCTTACACACACGTAACCCTCTTACACACACGTAACCCTCTTACACACACGTAACCCTCTTACACACACGTAACCCTCTTACACACGTGTAACTCTCTTACACACATATGTAACTCTCTTACACACACGTAACCCTCTTACACACACGTAACCCTCTTACACACGTGTAACTCTCTTACACACACATGTAACTCTCTTCCACACACATGTAACTCTCTTCCTTTCGATATTAGGAAGCCTCTGTAGCTACGCAAGCTTAAATCTAGACTGAAAACAGATTTCTTTAAAACTGCTTCTTGTGTTTAGTTTCTCGTTCTTCCGCCGCACCTCCGATTAGCACGGTTGACTACGTAGGGTGCGAAAGAAGTTCAACGTATTGGTGGTGCCTACAAGCGAGACCATCGTCCAGCGGTAAAACAATTGACAATAGCGAATGTTGCAATTGAACAAAGCACGAAGCAAAAAACTAAAATCTTCGCCTCACCTCCATCAGCCCTTTCTCGGCCCATCCCCGCGTGAACCCTTCGTCTCTGCCCGGCGAATCGTCCGCCCGGAAAGCCCAGAAGCCTCCCAGCTCCTTCAGCTCGCGGGACCGAGACTCACGGGGGTAGAGAACCCCGCTGCCCGGCCCGGTCTCTGCCGTCATCCCCGCAGCAAGCCCGGCCAGTCGGACTAGGAAAAGCGTAAGGCTTGGGGCCCGCGGTCGGCACATTTCTTCACTAAAACGGGGTTCTGTTCTTCCTCCTCCTCTATGGTTGAGCGCTTAGCTCAACTGCCGAGTGGTTGTTGTTGAAATCTTAGCAGGATATCGCGTGTTCAGTCGAGTAACCTTAGTTTGTTGCGCTGTTGTGAGGTGAAAAAAACGAGAGGGAAAATGTAATTTGAAAAGCCGGGTCGCGGTGGAGAGCAGGCGTGGCGACGTCACGTCCGGTCACGTGCCCTCCTAGACGCGTCACGTGTTAAAAACAACACGTGACGCGGCGGCGGCGGCCACGTGCAGCAATCAGAATGAGGAATGCCGTCCCCTACTTACGAACGAGTTAGGTTCCAGGGGTCTGTTCGTAAGTCGATTTGTTCGTAAGTCCCAACTTAAACTCCTGTCGATTCTAAACGTAATAATAGGGGTGTCCCCCCTTTTTCTGGTAACAAAACTTCAACCTTTTTACGAGGAATCATGTCTGCATTAACCGCAATACTTGTGGTCAAAATGCAAACAAAAACACTCTAATAATATATGCATTGTCCTTGAAACTGATTGCTCCACGCCAGAGGCGGCTTTCTTTTGAGCCTCGTCTCAATTGGTACTAGACCAGAGGACGCCAAAAGGCGTACAGCTCAAAGACAATGCACTATCAAAGTAATGAGGGCTCGGGGTAAGCATCTACATCATTAGACCTCCTTTGCCAGTACCAAAATATAATAATAGGGGGTTTCCCCTTTCTCTGGCAACAAAACTGAAACCTTTTACAAAGATTAATGTCTGCATTAACCACAATACTTGTGGTCAGAATGCAAACAAAAAACATACTCTGATAATATATGCATTGTCTTTGAAACTGTTTGGTCCACACCAGAGACAGCTTTCTTTCGAGCCTAGTCTCAAACGGTGTTAGACCTTTTGGCGTCCTCTGGTCTAACAAGGATACATTGTTGTACTGCCCGTCTATGGTCTCCCGTCCATGCTGCCTGCCTTCAAGTCGCACTGACCGGAGTGGTGAAGTATGGTCAAATCATTCCCACAACTCGTATCCTTGCAGTGGATAGACACATGGGCTGTCTGTCAGCTAGAATTCAGAGAAAAATCAACATTCAATCGACGTAAACAATCGAATTAAATCTCTAAACGCTATCTTGTCCGCAGCTCTCATCTCACGATATCTCTGTCTCATCCGTATCTCTCGTCCCGTTTACGCCTCCCACCTTTTGCCCATGCTTCTCTCATCGCGCCGCGTCTATAATTTCTCATCCTCATCTCCTCTGCCATCTCACCACAACTTTACACATCGAAAGGGGTAGTGACGGAAGGGTGGGTGGCCAACATCATGGCTGCTGTGGCACCACCACCACCACCGCGGCCAGCAGACGGTGCGCCGTGCATCATTGATGGTGGTGGCGGTGATGATGATGATGAAGGGGACACTGCGGTGAGTGGTACAGGACGGTGGGGAGAGATTGAGGACAAACAAAGCAATGCCGAGCGATCGTCGCGTCCCGCAGGGCAAGTGGAGACCACGGCAGTGACATTTAACGCCACTCCGTTAAATGTTAATGCGGTTGTTTTTTGCTCTGTCTCTTCCCCCCCGATCCCACCCCCCCATTCATGCCCTGATTCAATCGCTTGTCGAAAAGTAAAGCGGGCTGCACGGGCAGGACGCGTCGCAAGAACGGGATGATAATTGATGAAGGTTCGGGAATAATAAAACGGGAGTAAATTGTAAATGTTGTGGATTTACTCTCCAAACTCACCGGTGGGCTGAAGTAGTAACTAATTGATCTTGATTTGAAGCTTTCGTGACTGCAGGAATCCATACTCTTTGGTTCTTTCGGTAAAGTCACGTAGGTAGAAAAAATGATAAATCACGACGTTTCGATCACCACACAAGCAATCGTCTTCAGGTGACTTTACCGAAAGAGCCAAAGAGTATAGTAAATAATTGGCGCGTTTTGTTGACGTGACAAATCCATTACTAGTATTAATTGGCCGTGTCGGGTGGTGGAGGGTTACGACACATTTCTACTTACGCGATCTAACCCCAAAACCCTTTATTATGAATGATATCGGTCGCGAAAGCTTACGACGTGTTAAAAGTGGCAGCCGAGGAATGGAGCCAGCAGTGGCATAACTAGCGTGGGGGCAGGGAGTGCCTTGTCCTCCCCCTGCAACTGGTGGCCGAAGCTACGAGTTGGGACCCCCTTTGGAAAAACCACCATGAGATCTGTTTTATTCTTTAACAATTGTGTAAAAGAAGAAACACTTATTTAAAACACGGTTTACGTTTTTTTTTGTGTGAAAATGCTTTCACATAGAACTCCATTACTGGGGTGTTTATGTCGTGAGATTCGCGTCGATAAGAATTATGTTGCAGAGATGTAGCGACGGGGCTGTAGCGGTTGCATTTTGCGAAGACGGAGCGCCCCTACAGCGTTACATGTTCGAGACCGTGAGCCTAATGATGTGATTTTGGCAAGAGCAGCCGCGAAAAAAAATAACCCTAGGTACGACCGTGCGAGACAAATAAAATATTGGGGGCCCCACCTGACCGATTGCTCCACTCCACTCAGCCGCTCGATAGAACCCGTCTGCGACATTGTCCACCTGCGATATGGAGCGATGCAATCAGCTCGCGCGCAGGTGACGGGATGGATTCATACGTCGCAGGATCTCGTGAGAGATGGCATGGTTTTGGGAGGCCCTCGTCCAGCAGTGCATTAACCATGGCCGATACTGACGATGACCCAAATTCGTCCATGTGTAAGCCAAAACGAATCAACATTAGTTTGAGATGGGAGGGAGGGCACCTAAACAAGTATGGAAAAATATCACCCACTCTCACACTTCCACAAATGATGCTTGTGGGTAGCAACACAAGCACACTGACTCAGACATTTATTGTCCTACCGCCTCCCAGCACGCTTAACACTCCTATTCGTCTCTTTCTCACGTAAAGGAAAGATAAACAATTGATGTGGTCGGCTGACCTGGAGGCCACAACACTAAACCGGCTGTCCCCTAATCCTGGGTTCGAATCCTGGTTCTGAAATATGTTGTTCTTTCTCTATGTGTTTCTGTCTCACCGGGTGACTTGCTTCATGTAACTCCATGTCTGCCTCTCTCTGTGTCTTTCTCCTTGTCTCTGTGTCTTGGTCACATGTCTGTGTCTGGTCTGTCTCTGTGTCTTTTTCTTGGGTCTCTTCCCCCCTGTCTACCTTTCCTATACTTTGCACTCCGATCGTGTTTTTTATTATTATTTGGTGTTGCAACGCTCTGACCTGAATACTGGACGTCTGTGAAAAAAGAGCTTTATAGCTCATCGGATTCCTCCAGTATAAATACATATTCTAATTCTGTCTTATGTGACTGCGTCGCCGTGGTGATCGCCATGCCGCTATCAACACAGCGCCACTCGCTTCACCTTGAGCACCGCTCTGCACGTGCGCTTGCATTGATAAATTCACATCCACCTGCTGTCCCAACCCCGTACACATTCGAACTTACACGATGGCAGCAACCGTTGTCCGCACGCAAACGCCTCTCGTGTCATATCATATAGCAATCGTGTCTCGCTCACGCTAAAACAAAAACAGATATATTCCTGATTTTGATTTGTTATTTGAAGTACTCTGTGCTGCACCTTACGGATTGTAAGACGCACGCATCGTTTCACCGTGTGGTTGAAAGCGTAAGTTGAGGGTACGTGTTATAATCTGGTAGGTGTGTGTGCGTGTGCGTGCGTCACCAGATTAGTATAACTTTTTTTTACACCGGGCACAAGTTTGGGGGGTGCGTCTAACTTACCCTGGGCGTCTTATATGACACTCGGAATATGCGATGTGCTCGCATTCCATTGCTAAAACGTACCTTGAATTGTATTTTTTTCATTCATTTACCGGGCGTTGTGGCTCTGAATAATTTACACCTCGGTCATTAACGCAGCCTTGTAAGAAATATAAATATATCCATACAATATGCTAAGGTCACGCGAAACCATTTTCATTAAATTAGGCTTCCGAAGCGTGCACAACACACACATGCATAATGCATGCCTGCATCTGCAATTACCCGGATAACTTATTCATTAACCCGTGCCATGCCGGCGGTGATACCAAATGGCATTGCGGTGGGCTGCACGGTGGGGTGATTTGGGGGGGAGGGTCTCACTTTGCGCGGTGCCTTAGCATCGCCAGCGTGCCGACCCAAAGCCACGACCAGATTGACCAACTGATAGTCAGTGTCATTAATTGTGGGGTGGGAAGCCCAGGATCAGTTCAGATATCGCACTGGCCAATTATGATGACCGTGGCTGCGAGTCGCAGGGTTCATCGCGCACGTGAGCGAACCACTGCACCACCACACATGACCCCACAAGTTCAGCAAAATATTTGAACAATTACCCAGGTCACGCTGTCGGGACGATGTCGCTCGGCTGGCCTGGGAACGCCTGGGAATCCCCCAGGAAGAGCTCGAGTCTGTCGCCAGGAAAAGGGAGGTCTGGACCACCTTCACCGCGACCCTCACCAGGACAAGCGGACTGAGAAACGAAGGAAGGATTAAATAGTCATAATCGTCCTCGGCCATGTTTTGTCCACTGCTCTATTCAAGATCATCGTCATCATCATCATCATCTCTTGTGGTGCTGGGATCCCACAAGCCATCTCACTCCTGCACGCGAACTGAACATGATGGGGACCCGAGATGGTGTTCAGATATCACTCACCACTGATGTTAACCGTGGCCGGGAATCGAACTCAGGTCACCAGGTACATCGAACTACCGTGCCACCGCTACACCCGGAGCTGGAGGCATCTGCAACGCGCTTGCAATAACGGAATAAAGGTACAACCTTGGCACGCCTCGATTGTTGACACTGTGGGTGAACGTGGGCTCCGTTTAGAGAGAGCGATAGAGATAAATCTTTAAACGGGGGGGGGCACATAAAGCAATTCATTGAAAAAAAAAAGAAATGATGAACGAGGCAAAGTGCCGACTACACCGAGCATCTTCTTGTTTCCTCTGATTGTAAAAAAGAGAGAGAGAGAGCTCTGGCCGGAATTCTCTTTGTCATCCCTGGTTAGGACGTATTGGAGGGGGGTCACGTATACAGCGCGCTTGTAATTCGTGCCAGGGGTTGGTGGAGGAGGGGAGGGAGTGGCTCACACTGGCACCGCTTGAAACGGTGATCTTTGGACGATAGAAAAAAAAGCCCATCGTGACATCACCTTTGTGTGGACCCACGCACGCATGGCATGGTTAGGGGGGGCAGTGGGGAGCGGTGGTGCAAGTGGTTAGCGCGCACTGCACTAAGAACCCGACCAACTGTTGGATTCCCGTTCGCGACCAACAACAGCGGCGAATATTTTAACCGGTGCTGGGCCTCACTTAGGTCGACTCATTCTCAAGCCAGTGCCTGGTGTGGTGTGTGAATATCGGCACTGGGGAGACAAAGGCGGCCGAGCGTGGTGTTGGCCACCCGGCCCCGCTTGTGCCGTTCTGGCCTTCATAGGTAGGTGCTCGTTAACGGCAGTGCCAAATTATCTTAGTAGCAAAAGTAGCTACATATGCTACGGGCACCGCACTTTCAAGGACCCCACGCTAAATGCGTTTGAGCTATCAATTCCGGTTCAGTGATTCTGCACTTGCTCTATACTATAGTACTATACTGCCTTCAACTTTTATGAACGACTGGGTGTTTAAGGTTAGCGATTTGTCGTATTATCTGTCTGTATAGCAAATGAAAAAAAACAATTACTTTACTATGTAAGTTTAACATTTGTGTTTTTAGATTTATGTGTTTTTTTGTATTTAGGGTCGCTTTATAACATATGCTACAGGCCCCGCACTAACTTAATCCGGCACTGGTTAACGGCACTTGCCCCAACGGTCTGTTGAAGGCTACACGGGGGATCTTTGTCGGTGGTTGGGGGAGTGGTGATTGGGTGGCGGTGTCAGACATCAGGGGCGCAGGCACGGGGAGGGGACTGGCACGAAGTGGCATTGGCCCTTATACAAAACACACACAGTGCGTCAGAGGTAAAAGCGAATGTAAGCAGAAAAATGTGGACATAACACCTCCTTCCCATATTTGGCTTTGCACAAAAAAAGTTAAAGTTTTTTTTTACATCCCATCGTGCCGCACGGCCTTCAATGTATTCCGCAAAGAAAATGATTTAACATCAGCAAACTCGGGACCGCTTTTGACATTCATTTTCTTATCAGCAGTGTCAGACTTTGTTAAACATACGTTGTTGGATTACCAGATGTTTGTTATTGGCATTAGCACTCCGTATACGCTGTGGGACCCCGTTCAATGCAACAACAACAAAAAAGAGTTTGTGTCACGTGTCTGCGAGATCTGTCACCTGTTCACATATTGCAGCCTGGACTGAAATGGCACAAATGTACAAGAAATAGTTCAGCTCATTCGAATACTGTAAATCTTAAATCAGTTCGAGAATCGTGAGATTACGGCTTGGGGAGGGAGGCCTTCTTGCAGCAGTGGAACGACCACGTTTTGTTGGTGATGAATCCACATTTTTTATGGGAATAATTTTTATTGCATCGTCAGACGTTCATTTGCCCATTTCATACTGAAGCACACAGGGCGCGATTCGACATGGGCAGCTCAAACGCCAAAGCGCGCTACATCACGCCGAACAGATGAGCTCTTTGGCCTATGTTGCAAAAAGAACGTCCCAATTTCCCGTCTCAGGCATCTGCCCTTCCTTGATCCCTGTCAGTGTTGTCAGATTCATCGTCAACAGGGATTTCACTGCAGTTGCAGTTGTCCGGAAATTAGCTCCGGACATCTTCTTGGTTCTTTCGGTAAAGTCACGTAGAATGGAAATAATAAAATAATAAAACATAATTAAATAATTCTCACGACGTTTCGGCCACAACGCAAGCAGCCGTCCTCAGGTGAAGACCAGGTCTGTCGGGGAGAACGTCAGACCTGGTCTTCACCTGAGGACGGCTGCTTGCGTTGTGGCCGAAACGTCGTGAGAATTATTTTATTATGTTTTATTATTTTATTATTTCCATTCTACGTGACTTTACCGAAAGAACCAAGAAGATGAATCTCTTTAGTCACGAAAGCTTTAAATCGAAATTTAGCTCCGGACAATATTTCCGCTCTTAATGGGACCGCGACAGTGCGAGCACTCGACCGGAATGAAATATTGCGCAAGAAGGTTCGCCGCTATTTCAACTTCACCGATTCCCCGAATGTCTTCTCACTACCACCGAGGAATCCAACACGTTGTGTCTGCCAATCCCCGCTCACAGTTCCAAGCAGATTCGATTCCTGCATTGTTGGTCACATTTTGACGGTGTCTCCGTTTATATCCCGTGATCACTTGTTACCATCTTCTCCTTCACCATTCCAACCGACGCCTTGGCTGGTGGATTCAAAGGTCCTGTGGAACTAACCAGGGGACTAATGTTAGTTTTCGAGACATAATTTTAACACGTAGTAGAGATTTCGAGACCAGTATTATCCACAGTACAGGGTTTTTTGGGGGTTAGATCGCGTAAATATATACACGTGTCGTTAAACCCGCCACCACTCGACACAGCCAATTAGTAAGCGTTGTCGCCTGATGAAGCTGGTTGTAATTACTGGCGAAACGTCGTACTAAGATTGTAAATGTTGTGGCTTGGCTCTCCAACACACCGGTGTGCTGTACTAGTGACGAATTGGCCACGTTCTGTTTACGTGACAACCCTTACTAGTTGGCTGTATCGGGTGGTGGCTGGTTTAATGACACATTTATATATTTACGCGATCTAACAAAAAAAAAACCCTGCATTATCGAGACATCATATTGACTGTTAAAGAGAGGTACAGGTGGATGTGGTTTGTTGCATCGCAAGACCGTCAGAGATAATGACCCGTTGGTCGATACCTTCATCCAGATCATGACCGCTGATGATACAGTAAATACAAATGGTATTGTGCTGAAATAATTGTCCCAGAAAAATCAGTTGTTGTTGTGTTCGGAGCGCGTGAGCGGGTTAATCACACCACGTGTGAATATTGTGGTGTGGGAATGCGAGCCAGAGGCATTATTATTTTATTATTTTAAGAAGAATAACAACCAACCTTCAGTTGCAAAAAATATTTTTTTTTCCTAACTGTGAAAGCGCCCTTCTTTCGAGCAGCCAAGGGCACGCGTCGCTTTATATTCGGGTCACTTCTTACCCACGTGCAGAGGCTACATTTCTCACCAGATATGTATCAGAATCAGAATATTTAGTTATACTGGAGGAATCCTATGAGCTATAAAGCTCTTTTTTCACAGATGTCCACGATACAAAAACACAATGATAGTGCAAAATACGAGAAAAATAAACATATCACCCAAACACATACAAATTAAACTAAACAATCCTCATCCTACCAGGCAAAGCCCACTGAGGTATTAACTTGTTTTTCAAAAGCGACCTGGCCACAAATGATAACTCATTAAAGTCGCCCATCATTTGGACATTTGTAGCGCAAAAATAATCTAAATTATCTCAATGCACGTTTCTAAATGTGGAGCGAAAAACCAGAGGACCCGGAGAAAAAATCCACGCGGTCACGGCGAAAATATACAGGCGTCAGGATCGGGATCGAACCCTCGACCTCCTGCATACCAGGCGATGAAGATGACATCTCACCACCGTGGCACCCCTTAAATAAATAAAAGTTAAAATTGCGTCCTCAATTTGTGGGTTTTTTTCACCGTCGCTGAGCACAAATGCCAAAGCCCCCCCCCCCAAAAAACGTCAAGTGGCCAGCAACAGACAGCACGACTGAAGTGGAACATTAGATGAGAGTTGAACAGGTTTCTCGAGTTGAGCAAGGTTATCAGAACTTGGGGGAAATAGTGCGGAGGGCCACGTGAAGTGGCGATGGCTCGCTGACAGGAGGTCACGGGACAGACCCAGGTAATATGCACACAAAGATTTCCCGCATAACCTTAACAGACTGTTGGGGCGGGTGTTGTTAGTGAGCACCCATCAAGACCAGAACAGCTCACGTGGGGGTGGGGTTACCGGCAACACGCCCGGCCGCCTTTGTCTCCCCAGGGGCGATGCTTAGATAGGGGAGGCTCAGGACTGGCTCAGATCAAGGTCACTGGCCGTGAAAATCGTTACTCGGGTCGCCGGGTTTGTAGAGCAGCGCACAAACCGCTAGACTACCGCTCCCCAAATATGCATACGTATACAAAAACAATATCCACCGTGTAGCCTTAACAGCCTTTTGGGGCAAGTGCTGTTAGCGAGCACCCCTGCAGGCCAAATACCAACATCTCAAGGCCAAATACACCCCCCCCGCTCCGTATCGCCTTAAAATAGACTGTAGGGGCAATGGGTGTTTGCGAGCACCTATGAAGGGCCAAAGACACCCCTATATTTCTAGATTTGAAGCTTTCGTGACTGCAATGATTCATACTCTTAGGTTTTTTCGGTAAAGTCACGTAGCTACAAACAATTATTTTATTTCTATAATCATATTTATAATTTTTATTATTTATTTTTATTTTTACCTACGTGACTTTACCGAAAAAACCTAAGAGTACACCCCGTATAGCCTTAAAATAGACTGAAGGGGGCACGTGTTGTGAGCGAGCACCTTGAAGCCCGCACACAAACACGCGCGTCGAGACCACCCCCAACCACCTCTCTCACTTCAATCCCTGCCCACTCCCGCTCAGAGCGATGTAGGAGGAGGAGGAAGGTCGAGGAGGAGGAGGTGGTGGCTGTTGCTGACGCAGCAGCAGCAGCCACCAACATCCCTGGCGAGGCTGCTCGCTCCGTCCACCCACGCGTGTTTTGGGGAATCTCGTCTTTCCTTACTCGTGTGTAGCCGGCCGCACCATTGTGACCGAGCTCTTGTTGTTCGGGTGCTGTGCAGAACAAGGTGCTTGCCGTTAGCGAGCGCCTATTAAGGCCGCCTGCTATAGGGTGTACGAGAGAGGGGGGTGCTAGGGGCAGCAGTATAGAGAGTAATTCCGAAAACACGCGTGCACACATAACACAATTTGACATTCACAGTTACACAGACACACTTTGACCCACCTAATTTCACACACGTACACGCGATCGCACGTAATTTAATCACCGCAAAAGTTGCATAATTTCACGAACAACGACACGCACATCATTTTCCACGTATGTATAAGAGTTAATTTAACAATCATTGTAACACATACGTTCACACGCAATTGTGCACACGCAGTTCGCACGCACGCACGCCACGCGCGCAGTCACACAGACAAAGATCACCCGTGTAGCCTTAACAGGTGCTGTGTTAGCCCTTAGCGAACCACATATTAAGGTACGGCCACGGAGGTTAATTGGTGGTGTGGCCGATACCAAGGCCGGCCGAAACCCGCACACACAAAAACAAAGATCCCCCGTATAGCCTTAACAGCCTGTTGGGGAAAAGCGCTGTTAGCGAACATAAAAACGGGCCAACTCACACAGGCACACGTACACACACACACGCAGCCCACATGCAATCTTCCCGTGCTAATATAACCGAATACTCGGGACGCACACTGACACACGCACACGGAGGAGGGTAGTGAGTGGCAGGGATGTGGGGCTATCGTTTGATTAGGGGCTCCGTACACAGGTGGCTGCTGGTCGGAGCCGTTCTCGGTACCCTCGGCTACCTGTACAGCAGCAGCAGCAGGTACAGCAGGGACAGAGGACTGGAGAATCACACAGATACCAGGTGAGTACCGTGTGCGTGTGTGCGCGGTATGTGAAGATCGGCCTCTGTGCAGGAGGAGGAGGCTGGTGTGGGACGCTACTTGGCAATTGGAAGGCAGAGGAGCGACGCTCACAACAACGAGCGGAGTGCCGGGCGGATAAAACGCACTGTAGGGAGCACGACTGAGATGACTGGCATGCGCCAGTCATCTCAGTTGGTCAACCCATGGCACCTCGGTCTGTCCCGTGACGTCCTGCCATCAGCGAGCCTTCCACACTTCGCGTGATAGCCTCAATGTGCACCTAGCCTGGCACAAGCCCCGTGCTGACGTCAGCACCACTTAGTGGCGAACGGCAGCTGTGATGTGGGGAGCGGTGGCGCTACGAAGCGGACCACCCGAGTTCGATACTCGGCCACTACCAATAACAGTGGCAGCGAATATTTGAACCGGTCCTGGGGCCTCCCGTAGGTCGACTCAGCCTTAAATGGGCACTTGTTGCGGTACTGTGTGCACGCATCGGCATTGGGGAGACAAAGGCGGCCTCCCCACCCGCTCGCAAGCGCCGTGCCGGCCTTCATAGGTGGTAGTAGGGCTGAACGATTTGGGGGAAATGTCTAATTGCGATTTTTCTAACAGATATTTGCGATTTTATTTGCGATTACATTTTTAAAAGTCAAGCTTCAGTTCAATATTCACCGTGTAATAGATTTAAAACACGTGATGGAGCATTACCACATGATACCATTAAAATATGAACTGCTCTATATATTCTAATGCAAGGATGAGAACTTAAAAGATATGAATTGCTTCCAACATGTATTTATAAAAATGTTTTAATTGAAATAGAACAATGAAACATAGAACAATTGTTAAGTTAAATAAATAAAGTTATAATAATAAAAAAGAAAACAACTCCAATAAGAAGGTAATAGGACTTTTCAAATCGACAAAATATCGCAGCCTTTGCGATTTGCTAATCGCATTGTTTCAAATAGCGATTTCGATTTGAAATCGATTAATCGTTCAGCCCGATAGGTGGTGCTACTCGCAGTCTGTTAAGGGCGATGCATGATACACGGGTGGGGGGTTGGGGGTACCGGTGTCTTTATGTACGTTATACATCCATGGCATGCGTTTTTTAGATATTAATATTACTCATGAAGAATGGTCATTTAGTGCATGTGGTATTGGTACTGTCTAAAGCACAGCAAGTTGGTACAGTAGGGGCACAGGTGGTGCATCAGCCAGTCATCTCGTTCATCTCGGTCAGTCGACCCGTGGCACCTGGGTCTGCCCCGTGACCTCCTGCCAGCGGGCGTTCGACACTTCACGTGGCCTCAAGGTGCACATGGCCTGGCACAAGCGTCGTGGTGACGTCACCGCCACTTAGTGGCGAATGGCGGTTGTTGTTGTTGTCTACAGAGTTCGGTAGTCGTCTCAGAGTAGAGGAGGGTGAGTGATATTGCTGCTGCTATGGTGTCTCATCCCAAATTGAATAATTTTGAAAGACAATTTTTTGAATATTTTTGTATTTCTTTTAAATTGTTCAAATGTACAAATGTGACCCATGGCGTCTAATGGCGTCACTGGATCTTGAACCTTCAAAACTTGTCAGCAGTTGACACGAGGGTCTCCGTTTCTGAAATGTCTGCCTCTGTTCCATCCAGCAGTGTAAATGGGTCACCACCACCATCACAGTTAAGGGCGCCACGGTGGCGAGATGTTAACTACCTCGTCCTTGTATACAGGAGGACGTAGGTTCGATCCTGAACCCTGACGCCAATCCCTCCACATTTAGAAACATGTGTTTCCACATTTCCACATTAAAGCAGCATGAAATACACTCAGTCACTTCCTGCATACATATAAAAAAGCATTGCAACCCATCACAAACCAGTACAAGAATCTAAGATTGCATATTTTTACTCATCAAAAATGTGAATTTTTTTTATGAAAAAGGTTGAATAAAAAAATCGTGGCAACGCATGCTTGTGATTATGCCGAGGGATATAACGACGAACAACCCCTCTCTCTGTCTAAATCACGTGACTTCTGTGTGACCACCCCCTGTGAAAACAGACGCCGCTCCATGTGGGAACGTTGAGGCCTTTATATTTTAACCTCTTCCTCCCCTCCCGGCTTTCCTGGCCCTTTGGGTCTCGTTTTTTTTAACCCCATTCCTTTTCCACTCATTTTCCGTTATTTTTAGATTTTATCTCTTTCCTTTCCCATTCTTTTTATGTTTTCGTACATATTGTATCCTTGAGTCTACTCCCCTTGCCGTGGTGGTGTGCCACAGGTAAAACGCCGCTGGCGGTGTAGGTAAATCAGTTTCAAAGACATTGCACATATTACCAGAGCACTTTGTTTGCATATTTTTTTCACAAGTGTGTGGTTAGCGCAGACTGGTCCCTCGCGAAAATGACTCTAAGTGGCATTTGAACATCTTAACACAACTGCTGTTTTATTAGCCAGATGGGGTAAACTCTCTTCTTATTTACATCAGTTTTTAACACTGGCCAAAAGGTCCCGTAGACCAGGGGTCCCCAACCCCCGGGCCGCGGACTGGTGACTGGTCCGCGGCCTGTTAGGAACCGGGCCGCACAGCAGGAGGTGAGCGGTCTCAGTCTCAGTTTTGGTTCGCCCACAAGCAGCTAACCCCTAGCCAACATGAGCCAAAAACAAACGTCGCTGGAGAGCTTCTTTGAAAAGGGGGAAAGACCCAATGATGACCCCCCCCCCCCCCGCCACTGGTCCGTGAAAAAATTTGTCTTCCATGAAACCGGTCCCCAACCTTTTTGGCAGACAACAAAAACAAGAATGCGCAAGTTACAGACTTCACGTTGACTGTTAATAAAAGCAGCTGGGCTTGCATTGCTGTTGTGACATGCGGAACCCACCCATACTGGACATCTCTGATAAAGTGTTTTTTTATAGCTCATAGGATTTTCCTCCTCCCAGTATAAATACAGATTCTGAGTCTGATTCTGCGTTATGCACGGCTTGAAGGAAGTGATGGTCGGTGGCTGCGACTAAAAGTGGCGAGCCAAGGGGGGAACAACCGTGGAGATGGATCGGTGAAATCATTGATGCTCGTGCTCGGTTGGATCGAATACATCGCAGCGACGTGCGGTGGGAAGGGGGGGGTGTGACTCCATGAAGAGGCCTTCATCTAGCAGTGGATTGATCATGGCTGCTGGTGAATAATACAAACGCAAATTCTTTATTTTTTTATTATCTACGTAAAGTATTTATTGAATGTTAATTTTGTGTATGGCGCACTCAGATTCCTGGATGGATTGCGCCTTATAAATGTCAATCATTATTTTTAAAAATGTAAGGCGAGCTTTATTAGTTCATAGCGTGAGTATGTTCATTAGCTCTAGGCCGTACAACGCTTAGAATTTTTACAAAAAAAATCATTTATATAAGGGCCACAACCAAAGATCCCTCACACTATCAAATGAAACGTCACTCCAACGGGTCACCGCAGCATCTCACAAAGCACGGTTGGATACGCCGTCAATGACTTCTAAATTCCTTTCACCCAAAAAAGTCCTCTGGCCCTTTACACAAAAGTTAGACCGACCCCCACGATAGAAAACCATAACCCGCTGAGATACACAATATGGAAAGCTGAACAAATAAAATAAACCATCCCCCGCTCAGGTTTTATCGTTTTTTTATCGTCACCTTATCTCTCCGATGTGGATTTTGAGTCGTATCGGGCATTGTTGTAAAAACTTACAGTGAATTGACAAGAACCGACAGGTCTCCTAGATGAAGTGGGTAGATACATCAGCATCCCCTTGGGGCCTCGAGGGAATCGTTCACTCGCACCCTAGAAGTAAGCCCTTTTCAAACCACTATCCTCGGTCACACAACCATCTGGATCCTGAGAAATAGACTCATCCGTATCTCAGCAACTCTCCCAAATGTGGGATAGTCCATCCTTCAGAATTGCTGGGCTAGGGAATCAGCTGGCCCGCTTGGAAGAGAGCGGGAGTCAGGAGGATGGGTCATCTCTCGTGTGAATCAGGGGGGGGGGGTGGACACTCTCCAAAACATTAGAGAGCGACATGACATCCCTAGTAGCGATTTTTGTTTCTTCAAATGTCTCCAGATCAGAGGTCGCAACCGGGTACCCGATACCCGTACGATACCCGGCTACCCATACCCGGCCGGGTACGGGTACCCGTTTGCGACCCTGGTGCGGCCGGGTACGGGTAAGGAATCAAAACCCGTATGCGACCTCTGCTCCAGATCAGAGACTCTATTAACACGGCAAGGGATGTTGACCTCTGAAAGATACCCCTCCCCTCGATATGGGCATGGCTGACGGAGGAGACGGCCCACTATAAAATCTCTGAGGCATACCAACTCCTACTACCGGGCCCTACCGTGTGCCGGCGTCGGGGTCCGAAGTCGCCCACTTCGATAATTACCTGCAAAACGTCTCAATTGGATTACATGTAGCCAGCAGCAGCAGCAGCAGCGGCAATGATGCCCCCCCCCCTACTGGTAGACTAAGACTAATGTCCCGCGGGGGGGGGGGGGGGGGCGGGCGGGGGAGGGGGGTCACACCTGAGTGCAAGGCTTATCCCGGTCACTTGTGTTCTCGCCCTGGTTGAACCAAAATAGACCTCAGTTTAACACGAAAGGCTTTCGCGACCAAATTTTTAATAAACACAATAGACAGGAAGGACAAGTTCAAAGGGCTCGCATAACGTACATGCATAATGTACGTTGACTCAGTAATTCCCCCTCCCCCCCACATTATGCAAGAGCGCAGAAGGGTGGTCAACACATCTACGCCTCTATATAAGGAACGAAACAGGTGGACTTCTCCACAAATCTGGCTGTCGCCTGATGAAGCTGGTTGTAATTACTGGCGAAACGTCGTACTCAGATTGTAAATGTTGTGACTTGGCTCTCCAACACACAACAGGTGTGCTGTGCTAGTACACTACACTATCCAGAGGTGGGACAAAGTCATTGTTATGCAAGTCCAAGTCGAGTC